TGGAATAACCGACATTTCCAGACTCTAAAGAAAGAAACGTATAACCAATCGCGTTTGTGTTAATTATTTATTGAAAAATTCAGCAAAATGGTGTAGTAATCTTCTTAAAACAATCAGAAAAACATTGGTAAGAATTTTTATATATCAATAATATAATCATTACATAAACAAGGTTATCAATATATTAACATTTTAAATTAGTTTATATCAATATTATACACTAACGGCAGAGTAAATTTTGGTTAGTGTTAAGCCGATCCTACACGATGTGTCCAACGTTGGTACCAATGTTGTAACCATAGATAAATGAAACAAGTTTAGATTGGAAAGTGCCCATAAGGACAATGTGAACACTATTTGGCGCTATTCTTGCAACGGTCGCGACCCAAAACTTTTGAAAATTTCGGACCGGTTCGGCTTTTTCCGGAATTATATCGCCAAATATTGTTTATTCAAATTTATTATTATTTCCTTTTAATTTTATAAATAAAATACAGTGTGTTACATACAAGAAACTTTATTTTATATAAGGACATGTATGAAATACCTATGAAACAATGGAAACCGACGTTATGCCACGATCCACAATGGTTTTTGCAGTTTACAGTTCACAGCACAGCTTTTTGAGTTTTTAATGCCACTTTTTCACAATTATCACCGGTTGGAGTAAATAAAACTTGAATTAAACTCACAAGATAGCAATAATTACTTTGAAAATGGACGATATAAACACTTTTCGGAATTTCTTTAATGAGAGCGGTTTAGATTTTGAAAGATTTTATGATTTTTGAAGATTCTGACTTTGACAAGAGATATGGACAAGAGAAAATCATTTCTGTTTTTGTTTGCCGTCGTTCTGAGCGACCACTACAGCAGCGCCAGATCTCGTATAACGGTCGCGACCCAAAATTTTTACGGGCTTTCCAATCTAAACTTGTTGCTTTTATCTATGGTTGTAACCAATATATGGCACAGGTTTCTACAATATTGTAATTGACAAGTGTGTCTCCTACACGATGTGGCAAATTTTTATGTGTCCAACGTTGGAAGGTGTTTGGCATATCATGTGGTACCGGCTAATAAGGTTATCATCATCATCATCATCATTTCGTTTCTCGTTTAGCTTATTCAACCATTTCCATATTTCCACATATTTAGATACTCTCTTTGTAGTTGGGCCCATTGTTGTCTACATTTGTTCTACTTTGTTAATTTTTATTCCCCCACCATGTTTTGTAGCAAATTTTGACCCACAACTAATTTAAAATTCCTTTATGTTTCGCTATCAACTGAAGTTGCAATGTTAAAAGTCGCAGGGTTTTGTATTCAATTTCTTCTTGTATTACGTTCTTTCTAGATATTTATGTACTTTATATTGATTTTCTGTAACTAACATAAAAAAAAAGAAATTCCTAAACGATATAAAGGTATAAACAGTAGAACACCTGAGCCTCAACTAATAGTTGCGTGACTTGAGAAAATATATCCTTCCTTTACTGAACATAAAAAGCATTGGTACCAACTAATCGAAGTTTTTTCATAATGAAAATGTTCCTATCTACGATACTACTCTTCTAGCTTCTCGAGTATCTCGAAACAACCATAGAACGGCTATCGCCTCTCATTGATTTTTATTAATAGCTCTTGTTATTTTTAGATCTGTATGTGTTATTTGTACGGCATATTATGAGACGATAGAGTAAACATGCTCAGTTAACGTTTTATAGCGGTTTTGAATTGGATGGTGTTGTTTAACCATGGAAATTAAGATTTAGAATATAATTCCGATGTGTTCAAGGTGGTGTTGGATATGAGAGAGGGGCCTTTATTAATCACCACTATCGTAAAAATCTATTGTATCCAAGGGGATCCAATCGGATTTTTTTTTATTTTAATCAATTTTCTATTTCGTCCTATCCTAAGTCCTATCCTATATAAATAAACCAGCGTGTAGCAGCGACTTCGTTCGCGTCGAATTAATCGTTTGTAATGGTGATAAAGCATAGCAAGAATTTCCATTAACATACAAACTGGATAAAATTTTCTTACATTTATGTCAGCATGAGAAAAAATAATATTGCGATATTATTATATAACTTGGTAATATTTGAGGGGTAGTTTCATCTCGTTGGAATTTGACTTTCGAAAAATCCGTTTGCCAAGAATAAGCTTTTTACGTCAAGCAGTTTAAAAATGCTTAAGTTTTAAAATAAGCTTTTTGGAACACCCTGTATGATTTTTAAAAAATTTCAAAATATGTAAAAAAACCAAATAAATTATGCTTGTCCAAGCGTTTTCCCGAAAGACTAACAGTTTTTTAAATAACAAATATTGTAATATTTGAGGGACGTTTTCACCCTCTTGGAATTTGAGATTCGAGAAACCCCTCCTTATCGAACCTCTAGACTCCACAGTCAATCCGTTTGCCAAAAATCAGCTTTAAACGTCAAGCAGTTGAAGCAGAATCGTGATTACTCAATGGTCATAGTTTATGAAACACCCTGTATAAATTTATAAAATATCTTAAAATATGTAAAACAACAAAATAAAATATACGTGTTTAAGAGTTTATCCGAAAAACTCACCGGTTTTTATATAAAAATTATTTTAATATTTGAGGGATAGTTTCGCCCCCTTAGAATTCGAGTTTCGAAAAATCCCTTGTTATCGAACCTCTACACCCTAAAGTCAATCTGTTTTCCAAAAATCAGCTTTTTACGTCGAGCGCTTTAAGCAGGATCGTGGTTAATCAATGACCAGATTTTCGAAACACCCTGTATACATTTTTAAAAAATCTTAAAATATGTAAAAAAATAAAATATACGTGTTTAAGCGTTTTTTCGGAAACTTGACCGTTTTTTAAATAAAAAATATTGTAATATTTGAGGGGTGGTTTCACCCATAAAATAATTAACTAGAAAGAAGTGTCAACTCTGTGTTAAATCGTGGAAACACGATACGCCACCGAAAACCTTCGTTGTCGTCTGGAGAACTAATTTTCCAATTGACAGGTTGACATGATAAGGACATGATGGCTTCATTTTCATTTCCGTTTCCGGTTATTCAATGGCGGGCCCTCTTTCAGTTCAAATGTATTTTGTATTTTTTCTTTTCATAAATAAAACCAAAAAATAATTTATTCACATATATT